TCCGGCCTGCTAGGATGACTGTGTCGTCCACCAATGGGTCTCTCTCTCCCGTCATAAAGTAGGTCCTAGGAAAGTCGGCGAGTAGTGAATCAGGCGCCAGCACTGGGCTTAGTAGGTAGTCTGATCCAAAATCTGGGCGGTTGTGCGGCCCAATGTAGAGGATGATCATAGCTCGCATCATTTCAGGGGTCAACACCCGATCATTGAAGTATGAAATCATCGAGGATGTGGCCAGCCTTGTCTTCATCGGCTCTGGATGGTGTGAGGTACTATTTGTTCTCTTGATCCCAGCTCCCTGTTGGGGTGAGTCCAGAGCACGCGAGGCTTCAGCTTTTAGGCCTCGTGCAGGCCGGCTGCTCAGTCCTACCGCTTCACCATCGTCAACAATGGCGGAATCGGACGCCAACTCTGAGGTTGTAGGTTTCTCATCCTCGTCGTCTGAGTGATGGGGCGTCCCCACCAAATCATTATACTCCCTACTCTTGCGTCGAACCACTGATTTGTTGGTTTTTCTCATGTTACGATCACGGATCAAGGACAGCTCCTCATCTGTCATCCAGTTGCCTATGTTCATATCCAACGCAGGATAAAAGCAAACGAGCCCGTCTGGAGGAGGGAGTTCATCACTGTCATGGCACCGGAGCTTATGCGCACTACCTGTTTCCAACACCATAAGTGTGGCCGCCACTGCCAGGTTCCCTCCCGCACTATCGCCCGTGATGATGATTCTGGGCACATCACGGCCCGACATGCCAATGCACCTACCACGTGTCTGGATCAAGGTCGTGTATACATCGAAACACTCGTTGAGGGCGTACGGGAAAGGGTACTCGGGTGCCTTCCTGTAGTCCAGGCTTAGAATAGGAAGGCCAGACTTTGCTGCCCATGCGAACAGCTTATCGTCATTACAGCGCGGATCCATGGCCACAAAACCCCCCCCAGGTATATCAACCACCAATCTATTGTGGTGTTCCAGTTGTGCCAGAGGACCATCGTAATAAAGCCAAGCCATGATGGGTTCCTTGTAGTCGCTCCCTTTCGGGCGGGGGATACGGACTTGTCTCGGTGGCCACCTCATGAACCGCGGGCGCATCAGCCGCTGGAAGAAACCCAAATAAGGCGATGTACTCTTATTCCACGACACCCGGAGGTGGTCAATGGTAATCATGCCGCGAACCTTCCGAACCTTTTCATCGGCCCGCTCGGTAGCGAAGAGATAAAAGACGGAGAAAACAATGCTCGCGATATCACGCAGCCATCTAGCTTTGATCTTCATAGCAGTCCAAAAGCCAGCATCGAGGGCGGTCAGAACCCAAGTGGCGCGGAAATATGTCGGGTCGTACATGTTGGCCATTGGTTCGGGGCTCGCGAGACCGACGAGGGCGCTGAAATTGCGGGCAGCGTAAAGGTAAAGCATGGTCAGGGCAACGGTTTGCCAGGCTGTCAGCCTTTTGGAAAAGAGACGCGAGAGGCGTTGCGCGCCAGGCGGTCCATGTCTGTCGCCCCTAGATGTGGATTGCTATCAGTTGGGGCTCCAACAATGGTAGAGTGGCACTGAGGTGGGGGTAGGCAGAGACGAACCGATAGAGATACACAGTCCAAAAGGACAAGACGGCAAGCACCTGGAGGCGCCGCGACTTGGTCGACGGTCGGCCGAGGACGTGGTCAAGCATGTTGGCTGTGCAGGTTCAAGGCGGGTGACTGAAGTCCAGTATTGGAGAAGGCTAATGCATTCCAGCCACCCGAGCAGGACAAGAGATACGGAGAGAAACAAACAGACAGACAGGCGGCGAGCAAGAGGAGTGCGACCGGAGGTGACAGATACCTTGCAGGGATGGTGGAATAGCCAAAGTAAGAATTGGCACAGGACGACCGAGGAATTGGGAGCGGCCCGCCCAGCGATCGGCACCTCGTGGCTCGTGACAGCGGCCTTGTCCATCGTGACGTTGCTGACAATGGGGGAGCAGCCACCAAATTGCCCTCGCATTTGGGCTTTGGCATGTGAAAGCCAGATTGTGGGGCATCTCACGTTTCGCCTATATTCGCCCGTGGGGTGACGCCTAATTCTAATTCTAATTCTGGGGTGCGCCGTACCCTAGACTCGGCCTCGCGTCGCGTGTCAATCGAGCTTCTCTTATGGGATTATATTTCCTCGGACAGCACATGTGTCTACATCTGAGTCATGGGACGGCCAATATTCGGGATTACCTGGTCGTATACATTCCAATCGGTACTGCCCTCCAGCACTACAGCCGTGGAACACCATGTAAGCATCAGATGCGATATTCTAAAAAATCCAGAAAACCCGTAATTAAAAGGAAACTCCTAAAATTCCAAGACTCAAAAACTTTACTGGCTCTTTTCCTGTTACGAGTACGTCACTCTAATAATAGAGGCAGATAGATGTGGATGCCCATTGTCAAACAAGCCCTGACCTGCGTCCCAGTAGACACATCAAAACATGGTCAATGCTGGAAATATACTTATGCAGTTGTTCGCCTGGCGCAGATTCTTAAAAGCCCAGAAACACCAGCTATTCTTGAGTTTCCGCGCCCTTGACAAAGAAAGGGGATGAAGAACGGGATCGGGAATGCGATATGGGGCACAACCTCACCGCAGCTGAGAAGAACTCATGAGCTTTTACAAGCATCGTTGGATTGTCATTCAGAACTATCTCTACAGAACACTGATTGTTTCTAGTCACTTAAAATATAGTGGAATATACGGTGAGAGAGGTGTTCAACTTTGATTTGTCGTATTCGTTTCGGAAAGTCATACCCTGAAAGTGAATGCGCGGGACATCAAGGCTATGCGACACGGAGGTCCTTCATCCAATATGGCCACTGTTTCGAAGTAAGTTATTCCGACAGCAACAAATTTGTGCTATAACTCACCTCTCTGTTCGTCCTGTTTTTATCTGTCTACATACGCATCCTTCTGTTTAATGTACTTCTTTTCGTAGTGGTCACTTACCCATACACCCTCTCTTTATCTCGCTCCGACTATAAATACGTGCCAGCTGCCCCAGATTGTTAAGTCTTACCACCAGCATCAATATCTGCATCAGCCTAACAAATATATACATACATACCTAGTTTATAATTCTCTATGCCCTTTCCAGCATGCCTACAATCCCATCATCCCTCTACATTGGTTATCCTGAATGAGGCCAACGACAACTCGGTGGCCAGCTGAAAGGCCCAGGAAGAAATAGGCAGTGCCACCTAGTTTACCGACCACCTTCGTCGCCGAGTTCATTTCCGGCGCTGGGAGGAGGATGGAATCTCATCCAAACCTCATCAGCTTGTGGAAGACACAGGGTGGCCCCCATGTATCGGAGAGGACGCTCGGCTTGATTCCACGACCCCAGCATCCATTCTCAAGCTCCTGTCGCCCACGATCCCACAGCGGGTGGCGACCGGATTCCACTAGATGAGCCAGCACAGCCAGCACTACGACAATATGTCGCCCCGGGGATCAAACATAGAGACGTTGGCTTGGTGGCCGCCCCGCGAGTGATGAGTTAACTTCGCGCTTCATGGCTTCCGTGGAAGGTACAAATAATCGTGCTTCTGTGGGAGGCACAAACAATCGTGCTTCTGTGGGAGGCACGAATAATCGTGCTTTCGTGGGAGGCACGAATAATCATGCTTCTGTGGGAGGCACGAATAATCATACTTCTGTGGGAGGCACGAATAATCGTGCTTTCGTGGGAGGCACGAATAATCGTGCTTCTGTGGGAGGCCCACATAGCATTGCTTTCGCAGGAAGTACATATATCACCACTGTGCCGGGCTCCCTTTGCAGCCGCTGCGAGTAGACACGGGGGTGGTCTTCCGGCAGTGGCTGCAAGAAGGTTTGATGGAGGTTTTCCTTGCAGCTGCTCCGGGTAAACACGACAGTCGTTGCAGGAAGACAAACATGAGATTCGGTTCTGCTTGCCGTGCTATATCCACTACGACTTGGCATAATTCCCCATCAATTTACTTGCAGTAGGTGCAAGAGTTTGACATAAATAACATGACATCTCCGACCTTGCTCTTTCACATCGCCGTGTCGCCAGCCTGGCCGGTGCAGCAGGCTTTCATTGTTGTTTCTTTGTATAACAGGCACCCCCGATCACACCAACAGCCCAATCAGCACGGCATGGCATTTTATTTCAGTTATCGACTATCGTCCTTGACCGCCATGGTGGTTTTTGGCTCGCCCTTCCCAAGCTTTTACGGATTGTTGGGCTGCTCCTTGGCCACCTTTATTTGCGGTCGTTGTGGGAGTCCAAGCTCTACGGATTGGTGATGAGACGGGAGTTTTCCCTGGAAATTGTCTCTGCGGCGCACTTGCACATAAATGGTTTCCTCTGAAATAACCTGTCCGGTCAGGAAATAGCCTAGAGCAGTAGAGGAAAGAAAAAATTGAATAGGAACTTGTGAGCAAATTAGGAATTAGGAGGAGGAGGCAAGAAGCGAGACCGAGAAGGCAAAGGAGACAATAACGAAAACTATGCTGCCTCGTGGTTGATTAAAGTAAAAAGACTGGCAAGGATTGAGAATGCTACAAGAAGCGTATTATAGAAGGACATAAGACAATGGTAAAGAAATAAACAATAGATGAAACAGAATAACAAAGACGGGGTGAATGAAGGCGATTGTATTACATATAGTGATCAATCACGTATTTTTTTGTGGTCATTCGACGCTTGAAACTAGAAAACTAGGTGCTGGTTTCCGATTGATTGATTCAATCCCTTCATCCTGAACTAGTATCACGCAAGCCTCAGAGAGACGTTACTGTAGCTTCCGTGTTCAATAATATTATAGATCCTCCGACCCTGAAGACAATCTGTATGCCATTTGCCCCTTGTCCCGAGTTTCTGTTTAGAGTTGAGGTTGGCTGTCCAGCCGATAGATTAGAGTGGTGAGTTGCCCCTATTTAGAGAGTAGAGAGTCCATTGCCCTCCCGCCGCCTCGTCAAGGAATATCATCGATAAACCTTCCTTAAATTCATGCGTCCTGGTCCCCTTGAGCAAGGCGGACCGAAACTTCTTTATCTTGCGCGTACACACGGAGACCCATGACACAGACTGGGTTCCATGGCTGCTTCCTGCCTCTCTCCTGTTCTGTTTCTGAATCAGATTCGGACTCGGAGGATTCTGAGTCAGAGTCCGACTCTGTAGGTGTTTCTTCCCCTTCTGCTACTGGCGTATCGGGCTGAGGCTGCGGCGGTAGCGGTGTATCCTTGGTATGCTCGCTTGCCAGATTGTCTGGCTTGGGGGCTTGTCTTGCGCTTGACGGCGCACGCCTGGTCCCAATCTCGTCCCTCCTCTCATCCCCACTGCGCTGCACTGTGGTCACTGAGGTATCTACAGAGGGTTTGGAGTATCCCGACTCCGAGGACGACATATCGCCAGGCCAGCATCCAGGGGGCGGCCTAGAGCTGACATAGTCATCGTTTTTCGGATTTTGGCCCTGAGCTTCCTCATGGGGGGTGTCGTTCTTCTCCTTTTCGGCCCCCCTCTCCCACTCTCCCTTCTTCTTGCTTAGCTCGTCCTGCATCCCAGCCATTGCCTGCTGCATTTTCTCCATGGCCTCCTTCATATCCTTGAGCTTCTCCTGCTTAGCCTTTTGCTCCTTCTTCTTTCGCCTCCTCTGAGACTTCTTCTGTTCTTGCGCTTCATCCTCGTCCAGAACACCAGTCTTGGAGTGTGCTAGATCATACTGCATCCCGACCTGTCGCAGCTTCTGGGGGTTGATATCTGCGAAATCCTTGACCACTTCCTCGACGGTTCTCTTATAAGGGTGTCGCTCGGCTGTGACCCTGGGGAGGACCTCGTATACTCCTGGCTTGAGATGAACTTCGCAGTTGACGGAACGCTTTTCGGAGATTCCGCGAGCGCATTTGGCTTCGGCCAAAGCTAGAGGGGACCCAAGCTGGCGAACAACGAACTCGAGGAAAAACGTGTAGGGCCCAGCGAGGCCGCGGAAATAGCGGTCATCGAGCTAGGGAGTCATTAGCTAAACAAATCTATTAAGTTTGGTGCGAAATGCGGATGGGCTTACCGTGGATAAAACAATGACAACAAGCCCTTCTCTCTTGATCTCAACAATGAACTTTTTCCTCAGAAAGCCAGTTACCCAACTGACCGGCGAGCTTATCCATTGCTGGGCGACCGTCCACCTTTCGTCGAAGAGACGCGTTCGGAAGATCCATCTGAAGTTGCTCAACACGTCTTCAAACGTCATCCAGAAGTTGCCGTTATCTGCGAATGAGTAGTTGAGCCTCCTGATCATCTCTGGAGTCCATTCCTTGGATCCATCTGACCAGGGGCCATGCCACTCTCCCAGACCGTTGTTCGACCTCTCGCCCCATGGGTTTCTACACCATTGAGTTAGTCCTCTGATTTTTTTTTCATAATGAAATGTTGATGCGATCAGATTACGAACCTGACTTTGATGAGCCGGACCTTCTTTCCGCTTTCATCTTCAATCTCGACAGCCTTGTGAATAGAGTATGCGTGGCCCAGAACAAGTCCATTCCTATTCGTAGTGGTGTAAGACTCGCTGTTAGCCGTCAACCCGAAGACGAACTCGGAGTCGCTCCTGTCGACTCCCGTCATCTCACGCCAGAGCTTCTCCTTGCGCAGGACCCGGTTGCCTGGAACCACCGTCATTACACCACCTGTGAGGTCTTCAACGGCGTAGCCAGGCCAGCCTCCGTTTATCGACTCGTAGTCACCGTGGACTTTTGCGTACTACGAACGATTGTTAGTGATTGAACCAAAAAAAAAAAGGTGGTGGAAGAACTCAATATTTAAAAAGAAGAGGGTTGCACGTACCGCTTTCTCCAGCAATGGGAGCCACGTCTCATTCTCATTCTCACACTTTGAAAAGAATAATGACTCTGAACCAGTCTGCCTCTCCTTTTTATGCGTACGCGACCTCTTCCCGCTCGGATCGTGCACATTAAAGCTGTGACCAAAGTCCTCATAGGTCAAATAGAGATTGTCATCAATAACGGTCGAGATCCACTCGCCGTCTCTGTAGAAGACGAAGCCGTAGACACCGCATTCCTCGTCGCGCGCAACGCAGATCTTGTCCATGAGATCTCGGCGGTGGGCGATGTTAGCCACCCCGGCGAGCCACCAGCAGTCACCAACAGCCCCTTGCTTGATGTCAGAGCTGGAGAAGCCGTCGACGGTGAACTGGGGGTTCTCGAATACCCAGTCTACCCGATGAACCGCCCGCGGTCTGTAGGTTGTAGGGGCGGGGGGTGAGTTGCCCGCATTCATGTAGGTCTCCAGGTGTTTGAGATTGACCGGCGCGACGGCGTCGGCGAGGATCCCGCTGTTTAGGATAGTCTTCAGCGAGCGCCTCACCGACCTGGAGCGGCGGGGTCGCTCGTCATCCGACGACGAATCGTCAGACGAGTCGTCGGAGTCATGTTGGTGGCAGGTGGTCTCCAGGCCGAGCAGGCAGTCGAACTTCCGGCAGAAGAGGTCGGTGTCAATGTCGAACTCGGAATCACAGAACTTGGTATTTGTGCTCTCACACTGGGCGACGGCCACGCGGACCATGTCGAGACACCGCGAGCGGGCCTCTTCATAGCTCTGGGCGGCATTCCGGCCTTGCTCTCGGGGGGAGTCGGCCCCGACGGCGAGGTCGCGGTAGAGCTTCTGGGGGAAGATGGAGGTGACCTTACCGGGGGCCTTGCTGTGATACCGCGACCAGAAGCGGGATACGACAGTCTGGGGATGGATCTTTGAAGCCTTTCTTGAAGGCTGTTGGTCACCTTGGGAGACATGCATGATCAAACAGTCTACACAGATCCAGGAGAGAGTGGGAAGAGATTAGAGAGGATGTAAATCAGACTCTTGTCGCCCCCATTACCAATCGCCGGGAGGAGAAGAGAAGAAGAGAAGGGCTGATGCCTAGACACGCACACATACAGCGAGATCGGGAGCATGATATATTACACAGCATGAGGAGGCTACTCTATACGAAGTGCCATGGCGAGGCGAAAACAGACGTGGACAGCTCCCGCTTGGCATCCTGCGCAAGGCATCACAGCTGTACCGCCTTTCGGAGCCGCTTTAGTGCTTCGGTACATGGAGGAGGCCAATGGGGGATGCGGCTGGGGGCGGGATTGTGGAGATGGGATGCAATGGTGAAGCCACCAGGAGCGTCGCAGGAGGTGTCCGGCCAAGGCTATGGGGGCAGGGCGATCAGATCGGTGGGCCAAGGCATGCAAGTGAGCACATGGATGCTCAGTTAGGGCTATATCCATGCTGGATTATGGGTTGTCAGAGTCTCGTCGAGACTCGGGGGATAGCAGACACCCATCACGATGGCGAACGAATAGTATCCGGGGCAGTGGGAGCATAGGCGGGCAGCTGGCCACGTCGATGCAGCACATGAGGATTACCTCAATGCGCGGTAAAGCGGCCATATCAGCATCTGGCCAGGTCGTTGAGAGCCGCAGGAGGGAATGGAGCACCAGGCAGTGTATCGCCTCGATGCTGTGGATGTGGTGGTTCGCAAACCACGTTGATGCGGATAGGATAGGGCTGAGAGGGCGGTGCTTCGTATTTCCGGTCGCTACCTATACTATAGTGTGCGATAGTCCAGGTCTAGTTTACGATGACTCAAAGCGATGGCCTGACGTCATGTGACTAACTCTTCGGTGTCGACGGAGAGTGAGCCGTGAGGGAGAGAGCTTGGTGGAGGGAGAATGCATCCATGTCAGATGGACGCTGTTGCCTGACTCAGCCATCCGCGACGGGTCCATCAAACCGGAAGAGTGCTGGAGAGCCTGTGGGATGCTCTCTCAGCCTTGCGGCGGTTGATGTGGTGGCCCTGTAGGTATGTAGCTTACGGGGAAACGGCGCCAAACAGGCGGTGGGCGATGGCCGCGATGCTCTGGGCGTTAGAACTTAGGGCACTATCCGCCATCCGCCCCTCCTGAGTCTGGGCTTCCTCCGCGGCCCCGGTTATCCGTTCTGCTGACGATGGATGTGATTGGCTAGACCTAGCCGAGAGTGGAGCGAAAGGCGGAATGCAGATGAATTAAAGCAGGAGCAAGCTGGAGGCTTAGACTAACTTACTTAAATAAATAGAAATAGCTAGCTATAGGGGGTAGAGGGATTTTTCTTCCCTAATTATCTCTTAATTATTAAAAGTTCTATTAATCTAACTAGTGTAAATTACTTCTTTTCTCTCTTTATATTATCTATATTTTATTATATAAGATAATATAGTTTCTAGTAATAATAATAGGGTTTTAGTTAGTAATTCTAACTATATTAATACCTATTACTTACTATTATCCTCTATATCTACCTTAAATTTATAAGTCTACCTAATTATTAGCTTCTATTATTATAAATATTCTAAAGGCCTAGGATATTAATTTTAACTACTTCTTAAGTATACCCCTACTATTTCCTACTTATTTTAAATACCTTAGATAATTAAGGGTTACTACCTACTTAATACTATTTATCCTATTTACCCTTAAGTTATCTAAATTCTATTCTAGCTTAATCTTCCTAGGGTAATTAAAAGGTACTTCTATTAATTATACTATTAGAAGGGCTTTAGTTTAAGCTTACTAACCTTTATTAATCCTAGCTAATTAGTAGGATTATTAGAGATATAAGTCTTCTCTAAGCTTAAAGTCCTCTTCTTTATAAGCTTCCTCCTAACTTTCTTTAAGCTTAATACTACCTATATCTACCTTAAAAGCTATTACTTAGTTATTTTCTAATTTATAGCTTATAGAAGATTTTAGACCTTAATTATTAAAAGAAGCTTATACTTTAACTACTATAGCTATTAATAAGAAACTACTAGCTATAAGTAATATACCTACTTTTAATAATATTATTACTATTTCCTATTACCTCTTAAAAGTAAAAAGAATTATTAAAATTATTATAGAAGGTAATAACTTCTCCTCTAAGTTTATTATTATTATTAATAAATTATATATTAATATAGCTACTATATTTCTTAATAGCTATTTCATCTTTAATAAAATTATTAAAAAGGCTAAAGGTAAAGTATCTATTATAGATAATATAATTACCTTAGAGATAGCTCTAAATAATTACTTTCTAGCTCTTATAGCTAATAAAGTAATATTAAATAATAGTCCTCTTTAATAATAATAGAATAAACCTTTAGCTTAATACTATAACTAAGTATAAGTTACTCTATATTAAGATAGTAGATATAATACCTTAGATAATACTATCTTAAGTACTTTAGAGAAAACTATATTAAAGGCTTTTATTTACTAATTTATCTAAGGATTAGCTAATAATAGGATCCTAGAGGAAGTTATTAATATTATAGCTATATAAGCCTTAAGCTTATTTAAGGCTTTTAGCTAAGTATAAACTACTTAATAAAATATATATAAAAAAGAAAACTTAGACTATTAATATTAATCTTAAGATATAGCTTATTACTAGAAGACTTTTACTAAGTATTAGTTTAGCCTTAATATACTTTATATACTTAACTAGGAAATATAATAATATCTAGAGGTATATAAGTATACTCCTATTTAATAATAATAGGAAATAGAAAGTAATATTAATATTATATCTACCTAAATAGTATCTTACCCTATTAGCCTTTAACCTTTTTACTAGAGATAAGCTAAAGGATAAATTTACTCTTCTCTTACTTAGACTTTTATTTAACTTTAGTAATAAAGTACTCTATATATTAATTACTTAGCTTAAGCACCTTAATTATACTCTATTACTAAAGCCTTTAGGTCTAAAGCTATTTCTTTTATACTTAACCTTACTTTTATTCCCTAAATTAATTAATCTTAATTAACTTCTAATAATAAATAGAATTAGAGTAATCCCTAGCTTCTTACTCTCCTTATTCTTTAAGATAGGTTATTTAATCTCTATATAAATAGATCTAAGATCCTCTAAAGAGGAGAAGTACTATATATTAACTATAGTAAATTAAGTTATAGATCCCTAGGCTATAAGAACCTTACTATTTTAATTATAGATTAAGCTTATTTAAAAGCCTTAGTATTTCCTACTAAGATTAAGTTAAATTAAGGTTATAACCCTCCCTTTAGGATTATAGATATATAATCTACTTAGTTTTATCTAAAGTAATCTATAGAGGATAGTACTTCTAATATAGGTATAATATCTCTATAATCTTCTAATATTAATACCCCTTCTTTATTAATAAATATTAATTAGGATCCTTAAGAGAGTAACTTAAGATTAACTACTTATTAACCTTTAGTAGAAATTAATTCTATATCTCTCTCTTACTCTAAATTAGTAATACCTTTAGCTAAGAGCCTTACCCTTTAAGAAATAATTACTAATAAGGTTAATAGATTTAAAAATATCCCTTTTATCTATAAAGAGAGAGCCCTTCCCCTTAGTATATTTAGAGTTAGTAGCTTTAAGCTCTTATCCTTATAAGGTTTAATTAAAGGCTTATAGGGTCCTATAGGAGATATAGAGGATAAAAGGCTAATAAATTATTATATTATAGCTCTAATAATAGTTAATAAGCTTAAATCTTATAACCTAGTTATTATTATTCCTATAGATTTTAATATAAATATAGATAATATTATTAGCCCTAGCTCTTTAGATACTAAAGTTACTTAATTCTACTAGTTAAAGGAGAAAGCTAAGAAGGGAGTATACTAACTTACTAAAATTATAGCCTATAAGGGAGAAAGTAAATTTAACTAGCTTAATCTTACTTAATATATTTAAGTTCCTTTTTTACTTATTAACTTATAGTAGGTTAACCCTAAGAGTATTTAAAGATTCTACTAATTATTAATAAAGAAGCTTAAGCTTAAAGACTCTTCTAAAAGGCTTATAAAAGCTAGGAAGGCTAAAACTAAAGCTAAGCTTCTTATACTTATTAATATAAATTTTACTTAAATAATAGTTAATAAATACTCTAATTACTAGAAATACCTAAACCCTAGAGGGATAAACTTAAAGGCTTTCTAACTTAATATATTTATCCTATTTAAGAGTTAGTAGGAATATTAGTATTAGCTTCCCTCTCTTTCTACCTAAGCTAATTAAGGCTCTAAATATAATATAATAAGCTAGAAACTAATTAGCTAACTCTATATTCCTATAAAAGAGCTTTTAGCTATAAGGTTTAGTAGTTTAAAGATATAGATTATTAATAAAAAGAAAACTCCTATATATTACTTTATTAAAATAATTATTTATTATAAAAATATTATAAGAAAATAATAGCTTATAGTAGCTCCTCTAAACTACTTTAGTATTATTAAAAAGAAGGGAAGGTATTTTATCCTCTTAGGCTTACCTTAGTTATATATAGTTAATACTATATTCTAGATTAAAGCTATAGAAATTAAGATTAGTAATATTAAGAAAAAGGAGATTAGAGCTATAATTTAAAGTCCTTAATTAACTCCTTCTACTAAGTAATTACTAATACTTACTATTATTACTCCTCTTTAGGCTTAATACCTTATAGTAAGACTAAATAGAAAGATACCTATACTTACTTATATTATTACTAAGGTATTATTTAAAGATAAAGGGGATAAAAATAATTAAGTAGATTAAGAAGATATTAATTTAGAAAACTAGCTTCCTCCTCTTAACCTTAGTATATTATTAAACTATATTAATTAGCTATAGAAGCTATTATAGAAAGTCCCTTTTTATAATTATAGATTAATCCTTTCTTAGGCTTTTTAGCTTATACCCCTTAAGTTATAAGAAGCTAAAACCTAAGGTATAGTTACTATATAGTA